CTCTATGTTGAGCAATTAAATAATATGACACGATCCTATGGAACATAAACTGCCGATCCTATGTAATACAAACTGCCAATCCTATGTAATACAAACTGCCGATCCTATGTAATACAAACTGCCGATTCTATGTAATACAAACTGCCGATCCTATATATTATTACTATAGCCACGTGACTTATAGGGACTAGCAATATAACGCCATAGCAATAAATTATAAAATCCTATAATTTAATACTATTAAAAATAAAATTTTATTATTTTGCAAAAACTTAACAATTTAAATTTTTTATATAATATATAGTATATATAATTTTTATTTAAAAAATAAAAATTAAATATTTATTTTAATAATTTGTTTAAATATAAATTTAATTAAATATATTTATATTATTTTATATAATTTTTACTAAATTTTTAAATTAAATTTTATATTTCTTACAATATTAATTTAAAAATTCTTGCTATATATTATAATAAAATATTTTATATTATTTACAAGTATCTTAATTTATTAAAATTTTTTTATTTATTAAAAATATATTTTATATAATTTTAATAAAATATTATTTATTTTCTATTTCTGGTTTTGTATAATAATATCATGCAGCTACCTTATTAAATAGTAAATATTTTATTTTAATCACTTAGACTAATTGTAAAAATTAAACAAAATTAAATAGTGAATATTTGTAAAATAAAATCTATATTAATATGAATAATTAAAGATATTGGTTATACAACAATTAATATCATGAAATTTGTTTTGTCAAAGCAAATAATTAATGCATAACCTAATATCGATGCTATTATGCATATAATATGCTTTATAAGTTATTATTGGTTAGCTAAGTTTTAATCTGATATCAATATATATTAATCAAAATAGCAAAATCTGATATTATTTATCTAAAATTATTTAATTCCAGTCACCTAAGATATTATAAATTAAAGACAAGTATAGTATATAAAATATTAATTTGCTTAATAATAATAGAAAATATAAAAAATTATAACTTGTTGTTATCTAAATTGTTTTAATTTATTAGTTGTCGCTACTGAAGCTAGAAATAACTAAAGCTAGAAATTAAAGTTCTCAATTTGAAAAATATAAATCCTAACAAAACCTGTTTATACTTTTTATTATATTATATCAAAATAATGCACAGAACTGAAATTATAAATTTAGTTTAAATTAAGCTTAATTCAGGCTAGATCTCAAAATATTATTTTGCATATTATTACAATAATTATACTTAAACCCTAATCTAACTATAAAAACAAAATTAGAATATGCATTTTAAAAAATTTTAAAATCTTATATTAAAAATTTTAAAATTTCTTGTAGTAATAATTGTGTTTTTAAACTAATAACCAAAGCTTGTATAGATTCAAATAAGATATTTACCTTCATATTACAATATTATATTGAATAATCTTTAAGTTATATTGTTTTGCTATAATAGTAAAAATAATGATATAATTATAATATATCTATAATATAATAAATTTTTGAAAAATCAATATAGCATTGATCATAAATATATGTCTTTTTTCTACTGTTTTCACTTTCTAAAATTGAAATATAAAATGCAAATACTATTTGCTTATTTAATATCTCTTAAAAAATCAAAATACAAAATATTTTAATAATCATATAAACTTATTAAAACTTACTTTATCTTATAGTTAAATATATAACTATTTCTATCTAATCAATTTACAAATTGTAATAAACTTCTAGAATATGTCCAGGCTTTTGCTAAAACTCAAAAATATATCATAATTATAAGAAGATTATGATCAGATAGATGTAGTAAAATAAAAAATATGACTTTAGATATGATAAAAATAGTGTTTATAGAAACAGATTAAATCTAACAGATGATATACACTATAGAGAAATATCTTCAAGACTTATAAATTGTTTTTTAAGCTTTCTGTAGCCAGGTATAAAATATTTGGTATCTTAAGATTCTAAACCTTAACCTATTCATAAGGTATCAACCAATATGTCTAGTTATCTGATTATTAAAAGATTAAATATTAAGCAAAAAGAAATTGTTAAACAAATGGCTACTACTAGTTCTTGCTCTGTAAAATTTTGTTAACTATATATCAGAATGATCAATCTTCAATAGCTATATCTAAAACAGTTTACAATACTATATATTTTATTCATCAAGAAAGACTTAATAGTCATATATCAGTTCAAGCCTTTTTCGATGAGTTACAAGAGTTTGACTTTGAGTTTGAATACTAATATAATCACCAAAACTGTATAACATATTTTTTTTGATCACAAAATATCTATAGCTTTAACTCATACTTACTCTACTGTTCTATTAGTTAATTGCATATATAAAACAAACAAATATAAGATATCTTTAATAAATATTGTGAGTATATTAAGCTTTAACATCACTTTTTGTCTTGTTTCACTTTTTTAATTGAAGAGACAGAAGAGAATTATGAGTAGGCATTGATATGTGTATCAAAAATTTTGAATGATTTGTTCTATTCTAAAATTATTATTATCAATCAGAAATTGGTATTAATAAGAGCTATTAACAAAATTTTTCCTAATACTTGGCATATTCTTTGTATATGATATATTAATAAAAATATATTAGCAAAATGTATACAATACTTTATTACTGAAGAGAATTAGACTGAATTCTTAAGAATATGACAAATAGTCTAATACCAAACAAGAGTTTGCTACCAAATAGAATAAATTTTTACAATATTATATGAACAACTCTAAAGTCTTAAAATATCTTCAAGAGACTTAGATTTTTTATAAAAAGTATTTCATTTCTGCCTATACTAATAAATACCTGTATCTTGATAACACAATAACTTCATGAGTAGAAGTAATATACACTGTTTTTAAAAGGTATTTGCAATTATCTACAGATAGAAGTAATACTTTAAAATTATAATTACTAATTTATAATTACTAATCTATTTTAATATAAATTTAGTATATATTAAAAAAGCTTAAACTATTTAATCTGTTTTTACATATCTATTTACAGATAATTTTGAATTAGTATATCACAAAATTATATTATTAGTGGAATTCTAAGCAAAAAAAATCCATATAGCAATTTTTTCTTAGCATATAAAGATATAATATATTTATTAGATTTTTTCTTTGAACTTCTTTTACATTATATCTCTGTCTTCACCTTAAAAAAATACATGATGAGTTAATCAAAGTGTCAAGTGTGATCTCTGATTCATTTTTAAAATCTTGTACAGGTACTTTTAAATCTACAATAGAGTTTTCTTGTTTATACATAATTTATGAATACTTAGAAGCTAATCAAATATTACAGAAAACTGATATTTACAAATACTGGTAGATCCAAGGCTGTTATATAGAATTTTTAAAATCCACAGATCTTGGTAATAATAATTACACTAATCTCTAGCTTTCTTGTAGTCTTTCATACAAAGGTACTAATTTTGGCTATCATATTAACAATTTATTATATACTTTTAGCTAAAAAAGCTTATAAATACTCTACTTATTATACTAGAAAATCTGGTTACTAAGAAACTATGAGAAAGACTAGTTGATACAAAAAACAAAAACAAGAAAACAACACAGGAAGATTTGTTAGCATTTGAGTATATTAAAAAGTGGTCAAGACAATATGATATATACTATCAAACTAGTTATAACTCTTGAATATGGCCTAATACTGATTTTGTTTGTAGAAAAATTTTTTTTGCTTTGTTAATATATGTATATATATTTTATATAATATACAAATTTTTGTTTACAGGCTAAATTATCAACTTAAATTAGCATTAAAATTTTTTTTATAATCATATGCGTGCTGCTATAAAATATGATAATTAGTTTAATACATATATACTAGTTATATAGTAATTCAATTAACAATTTATATATATATGTTGTACTCCAAATAAAAATTCATCTAATTCAGAATCTAGCTGTTCTGATTCAGAATCTGGGTAGCCAGATTTGAAATTTTTAAGTGAGCTACTTGGATTAATGATATGTAATTGATATTTATATTTGTACTATGCATATATATTATTTAATAATATAAAAAATACTTCAAACAAATTTTTATCTTGAATCAGAAGTTAAATATGTCTTTTGTTATCAAATTAATATCTGATGCATAATAATATTTATGTAATTGTATATAAAAAATAATTGGAGCGAATTATATTATTAGTTTCTTGTAGTATAAATAATAAACTCATATGAAAAAAATAATTTAATTAAAATATAAATTTAAAACAGTACTTAAAAAAAAGAACTTACCTAATAGTGTGAATCTTGAGACATTTTCTAATTTATTGCCTATTTCTTAGAATTATTATAGATACAAAAGAAGATTTTTCTTTTTTTACTTGTGCTGCTTTTAATCACCTAGTAACAAAATTTTTATCAAATCGCAAGCCTATGCAGTAAAGAAAAGCAATAATTACACAGAAGGATTATGATTTGATTATCAGTATTTTAAAAAATCCAAAAAATACATCTAATAGAAGCACGAAAGATAGATTTTGAACAAAAAATAGTTTTTACTTACATGATATTGGAATACCCCAAAACTCTATCCTTTAACTTATAGAAATAAAAATATAAAGGAAAGTTAGATCATGTTATTTGTTCTTTTCAAAATCTTTATAAAATTCTTGGCAAAATTCACGGCAACATACACTAATACTGTGGCTTAAAAACAACATATGAGTCAATAAGTAATCAATATGCCTATGTACCCAGATTATTTGTAGAGCAATATGTTGCTCGATATATGCAATATTATACACAAAGAAATTTTCTAGCATCTATTATTGGCAAGACCATTGTGGCTAAAGGATTTTTGCAACATGTACAGGTTAGTATATAGAATTGAATATGTGTTTAAAAGAATCGCATGCATAGAATTTATTTTGTAAATATAATTGTTAATGTGCATTTAGCGCATGTTAATTTTTAGAAACAATGTAGTATAATGTGTTTTAAATTATATTGCGCACATAAAATATTAACTTACATTTGATATACTACACATAAATTACTATCTGAATTTTATATACCAATACAGGTTTATCTTGTTTCATTTGAAAAGTATTCTGATAAAGAATACCAGTACATTGTATACCTTCATGATCATTTTACATATTTCTTGTGGATATGCTCATTGCGTACTAAAGAAGCATTAGAAGTTGCTGTATTTTTATTTTCTATTTTTACTATTTTCGGTCTCCCTTATATTTTGCAAAGCAATAATGAACAGGAATTCATAGCTCAAATCATATATGAGCTTTTAACTTATGAAAGAATATCCATATTATTAACAGGCACCCCATTATTCTAAATCACAGGGTTTAGTAGAAAATTCTAACAAAACTTTAAAAATACGCTTTTAACATGGATGGAAGATATATACTAGTTCTTGTATAATCAGATCTAAATTGTATTATATATAACATTAATCTGAATATGATAATACATGTTTGTATAACAAGCATGCTTTAAGGTTACATAATTCATATTACTGGTATTTAGCATCAATAGTATAATTTAATAAAGCTGAATATTAATTACTTCATAGAATTAATAATTATACTATACAAAACATGAACTTTTACTTTTTTTAGAATCATTAGATTTAGTAAAATGACCTTTTTTAAAAATCTATAATTGTATATTGACTATTTTATATTTTTTATTATTGATAATAGTTTCAGAACTATTATTTTAACATCTTTATTAATTATTTTGACACTCTCATTCATGGCAGTATTTTCATTAATAGCAGTTATTTCTATGCTTTCTTTATCATTTTCACTAACAGGAGAATAAATACTTTTTAATTATAATAACAATATTATTTTAATTTAGAATATAAAACAAAATACAGTTGCACTCCCATATAGTCACCTCCTTCATAGTCATATTTCCTATTTAATCATTTAAAAATTTGGTCCCAATTATATTTATATTAAATTTCTTTCTATAATATTACAATTTCTATATAAATACTATCACAAAATTTTATAAACAAATATAAATAATTTATTTTTATAAAAGCACAATTTTTTATAAAATTACAATTCTAAATTTTAAGCTTTTTTTAAATAATAACAATTGTCTATAATATCATATTTTTAATAACGAATTTACTAATAGTATAACAAAAAATTCGTAAGATTTAATCAAATTTCAATATTAATTTTCTTAATAACCAATAATTAAAATAATCTCAAATTTTTATCATAGATAGTACCAATATTCCTTTATACTATATTAAAATTTTAGCTAAATTGGATTGATAGTTCTTAAGAAATCACTTATAAACAATAGTTAATTTTTTTAAAAAATTAATTATCATATACAAGCAATATTTCAGGAACTAACAATCCAATTTAACTAAAATTTTAATATATTATAGAGGAATATCGATAGTATCTATAATATAAATTTGAGTCTATTGGTTATCAAGAAAATTGATAACAAAGTTTGCTTAAATCTTACGAATTTTATATACTAAAATTTGTAAGATTTAAGCAAACTTTGTCATCAATTTTCTTAATAACCAATAATTCAAATAGGCTTAAATTTATATTAAAGATAATATCGATATTCCTTTATGATATATTAAAATTTTAGCTAAATTGAATTGTTAGTTTTTGAGATATTGCTAGTATACGACAGTCAATTTTTTAAAAAAATTGATTATCATGTACAAGCGATTTCTTAAGAACTATTAATCCACTTTAGCTAGAAATTTAATATATTATAAAAGAATATAGTTACTATATATTATATAAATTTGAGCCTTTTTTAATTATTGGTTATTGAGAAAATCAATATTGAAGTTTGATTAAATTTTACAAATTTTATTATTCTATATATTCACTATAATTTATTTTTTATATAAAAGTAATTTTATAGAAAAAATTTATATAGTTATATTTCTATATAGTCACCAGATTTCTGGGTCCTGAGAGTATGATTATATGGAAGTGTAACTGTACTATTAACAACTCTTTTTGTCAATCATTAAAACACAAAATTCTAAAAAACAAAAATCAATGAAAAAATTACAAAAACATACAAGAGTTACTAAGAAACTAATCTTGGGCCTCTAAGTAAAGAGGAAAAGAACAGCAAGAAATATTCAGTCTCTTAAAAAACTTGAGTAAAAAAAGCAGAAGCAGCAAAAAAATAAAAGAAGTCATGAAAAATTGTTAATATTTTTTTGC